TGTCGGCGGTGTGTCGGTGTGTCGGCTGGGTCGGAGTGAGGCCAGGGGCCGTCCTGAGGTGCTGGACACTGCAGGCCTGGCCTGGCCTACTCTGGATGGCCTGGGAGCCCCTGCGCCCTCTGCTAACCTCATCCCTCCCTCAGCTATTTGGCTAGGCCAGCAGCTGGAACGTAAGTGACTTGGGGATCGGTGAGGGTCCCCACATGTTGCAGACTGGGCCTGCAGGGTGTACTGACCAACGAGTGGCAGATCCTGGCTCTGGTCCCTCACTGTGACAAACCTGGGATGGGACTGTCAAGGAAAATAGAGACAGAAGAAGGGACCCCACAGGATGTAGGGATGAGTCTTCCAGCCAGGCTAAACTCCTCACCCCCTTGGGGTGTGGAGACTACTCTTCAGATCACCGTTCCCTTCCTTTCAGTTATAGATTTGCCTCTTGTTAGCTGTAGCATCTCTTAAAATTTTTACAAGATAATTATTAATTTATTATTATTATTTCTTAATTTGATCACAGAGAGATGGAGGTGGGGAACCGTGAGAAAGCACACTGCCAGGTCTGGGACTCCAACTGTATTTAGCCATGTGGGAGTCCAGTGCCTTAACTACCACACCATCAGCCAGCCCCAGCTGTGGCATCTTTTTTTTTTTTTTTTTGGAGAGATTTTCACTGTAGGGCGCGTGCGCTCGCCAGACAGACAGAGAGAGACATAGAGACAGAAAGCGAGAAATCACCCCCCGGGGGGATGGTCACGCCGCAATCTCTTCTCCTCCATTCTCCTCTCGGGATCTTGGGCACGCACGCACACGCGCCCGGCGTGAGTTTTAAGCCACCGGGTCCGGGAAACGAACCGCGGTCAACTACGTGGGAGTCCAGCGACATAGCCATTACGCTCACTGCTGGTTCCCTGCTGTGGCATCTTTTGATACATTGTAGTTTCCTCTCAAAATTGGCTCATCTCTTTTATGTTCTTGTTTTTGTTTGAATTACAACATTGTAGCAACCCAGCTCTCTGCCTCCACACACAGGCACTTCTACCTGGGACCACTGTCCTTAGTTCTCTCCGTTGCCGCCTAGAGCATTCTTTTTATTAGTAGCCCTTAGCACTTGTGCCAGTTGCTAGCTAAGCCCTACATGGGGTCAGTATGACAGTGGTCTTTAAACCACTGGGGCCAGATGCGTTTCAGAATTCAAAATGTCTCAGATTTTAGAAAGATAATAGGGTGAATATAACGTGTACACCACACTTTCTGGCTCTGGGACATTATCCTATAATCAAACACAGTAATATTTCTGTTATGAAAGTGTTAATATTTATACTAATAGGGGAAAATAGGTCATTTTTCTGTCAAATTAATTTTTAATGTAGATATACAATTTTCCCAGCACCATTTGTTGAAAAAGACTATCCTTGGGGGACCAGCAGTTAGTGTAATGGCTATGTCACTGGATTCCCATGTAGTTGATCACAGTTTGAGTCCCGGACCCGGTGGTGTCTTAACCTCATGCCGAGCACATGTGCATGCATGCCCAAGATCCCGAGACGAGAATGGAGGAGAAGGGATTGCGGCATGGCCATCCCCCGGGGGGATGATTTCTCGCTTTCTGTCTCTCTGTCTCCGTCTTTCTGGCGAATGTGTGCGCCCTATAGCAAAAACCTCTCCAAAAAAACAGACTATCGTTTTTTCCCACTGAATTGTTTTGACACCCTTGTTGAAATCAATTGACCATAAATGTGAGGGTTTATTTCTAAACTCTCAATTCTGTTCCCTAGCTCTGTATATCTTTTTTTTTTTGGAGAGGTTTTCGCTATAGGGCGCGTGCGCTCGCCAGACAGACAGAGAGAGACATAGAGACAGAAAGCGAGAAATCACCCCCCAGGGGGGATGGCCATGCCGCAATCCCTTCTCCATTCTCCTCTCGGGATCTTGGGCATGCACGCACACGCGCCCGGCGTGAGTTTTAAGCCACCGGGTCCGGGATGCGAACCACGGTCGACTACGTGGGAGTCCAGCGACATAGCCACTACACTAACTGCTGGTTCCCTGTATATCTGTTTTTGAAAAGAATTATTTATTTAACTTTATTTATTTGTTTATCTTAATTTTGGTCAGAGAGGGACAGAGCAAGAAAGAGAGAGAAGGAAAGTAAGAAAGCAGGCTGCCCTGTCTGGGACTTGAATCACGGTCGGCCGCCCTGTGGGAGTCCAGTCCCCTTAACCACCATGCCACCTGCTGGTCCCTAGATCTGTTTATCTTAATATATGTATATTTTATTCATGATAGAGCATGTGTGAGAAAGAGAACAAGAGAGATGAGCCCCTCCCCAGGGCTGGACATGCTATGACCCCCTTCTTCCAGCCCCCCAGTCCATCAGATCTTGGCCTGTGCCAGACTGACTGCATTGGGAATTGGAACTGCACTTGTCATGTGGGATGTGGCTCCTCTTTTTTATTTTTAAGATGTTGTTGCCTTAGGGTTTATGTACTCACCAGAGAGAGAGAGAAAGATAGAGACACTGAGCAGAAAAGTGAGAAAGCAAGCCTCCAGAACTGGGATTCAAACCATGGTTGCCATGTAGAAGTCCAATGCCTCATCCACCATGCCACGTGCTGGCCCAACTTGAATTTTTCTTTTTTTTCTTTTTTTTTTTTAGAGAGAGTTTTGCTAAAGGGCATGTGTGCTTACCAGAGAGACAGACAGCGAGAAATCACTCTCCATGGGAGATGGCTACATCACAATTCCTTCTTCATTCTTTTCTCAGGATTTTGGTCATGCATGCACAAGTGCTCACACATGTGTGAGTTTCAAGCTGCCAGGCCTGGGACTCGAAACATGGTCCATCATGTGGGAGTTCAGCACCTTAATCATTATACCACCTGCTAGCCCCACCAACTTGAATTTTCTCAGTGCAGCTTCATTACTCTGCAGAACTGTAAAGCTCACTATACCCACACAACCCTCCAAGGCTATCAGACATGATTTGGGTTCCATGAGGCGTTTCCAGTATTTCTTTTCTTTTCTTTTCTTTTCTTTTTTTAGCTTTATTTTATGTATTTATTTATTTTAATTTGACCAGAGAGGGACAGAATGAGAGAGAAGCAGAGAGAGAGAGACAGCCAAAAAGTGAGAAAGCAAACTGCCAGGTCTGGGACTCGAACCACAGTTGGCCATGTGGGAACCTAGTGCCCTTAACCACCATGCCACCTGCCAACCCCATCCAGTATTTTTTATATTGCAAGTGCTTTTACATCATACCAATACTTCTTCTTTTAGGTTTTCACTGTAGGACATGTCATGTGTACTCGCCAGAGAAATACAGAGATGGTGAGAGGGAAAATTAGAAATCATGGCGGTCGAGGGTGCTGGACTCCCACATGGCCAACCATGGTTCGAGTCCTGGACTTGGCGGCTTGCTTTCTCACTTGCCCTCTCTCTCTTCTCTTTCTCTCTTTTCAAATCAAAATAAATGAATAACTAACTAAACAAATAAAGTTGAATAAAGTATTTAAAAACAAAAACAAAAAACAAGAATTATTGGGACCAGCAGTTAGCGTAATGGCTATGTTGCTAGACTCCCATGTAGTTGACCGTGGTTTGAGTCCCAAACCCGGTGGCTTAAACTCAAGCCAGGCACATGTGCATGCGTGCCCAAGATCCTGAGAGGAGAATGGAGAAGAGATTGTGGCATGGCCATCCCCCCTGGGGGGTGATTTCTCGCTTTCTATCTCTCTGTCTCTCTCTGTCTGTCTGGCGAGCGCACATGCCCTATAGCAAAAACCTCTAAAAAAAAAGTTATTTCTTTAATTTTATTGATTCATTTGTTTATTTTTAATTTGTCAGAGAGACACACACACAGAGAAAGAGAGGGGAATTGAGAAAGCAAGTCACCACGTCCAGGACTTGAATCATGATCTGCCATGTGGGAATGTCCAGCGCCTTAACCACCATGCCACTTGCTCGTCCCACCAGTCCCTTGCTTTTACTTTTGAAAGATAATTTTACAGGATATAGGATTCTTGGTCAGTTTCCCCCCAATACTTAGATTATGTCATCCCACTATCTTCTGGCCACCATCATTCAGATGAGAAGTCAGCAGTTTTATTCTGGGAGCTTGTACGTGATGCCTCATTTTTCTCTTGTGTTTTCAGGAATTTCTCCTTTTTATTTTTATTTTTTTAAGAATTACTTATTTAATTAATTCCATTTGTTGTTATTTTTTTGATTTGACCAGGCAGCGAGAGAGAGAGAAAGGGAAAGTGAGAAAGCAAGCCACCAGGTCCGGGACTCAAACCGCAGTCGGCCATGTGGGAATCCAGCACCTTTAACTACCATGCCACCTGCTTGCCCCCTGCTGGCTCCTCCTTGGTTTGGGGTTTTAGCACTTTTTTTTTTTTTTTTTTTTAATAATTTTAAGGTTTTTGCCCTAAGGGGCATTCACTTGCCAGAAAGAGATAGATGGGAAGAGAAATCCCACTTGGGGGTGGGGGGCATGGCCATGACTGCAGTTCTTTTTCCTCCGTTCTTTGTAGGTTTTGGGCACTCATGTGCACATGCTCAATATGTGTGTGTGTATGTGTGAATCAAACAGATTTTATTAAACTCTTTGAGGATGAGGGAAAAAATGACATAAAATAAGTCATAAGAAATGCTCTCTTGTACTACTATCTCAAATCATTTTCAGTGTTTTACAAAATGCTCACATAGCAAATATCAAAAGCTTCAGCACTCTTCTTTTGTAACTTCTGCTGTAATATATGCAATATTAACAAACATACAAATTCTTCTGTACCAATCTTAAAAACTGAACTACAGGGGTCAGCAGGTGGTGCGTTGGTTAAAAGCGCTGGACTCCCACATGGCTGACCATGGTTTGAGTCCTGGACCTGGTGGCTTGCTTGCTTGCTCACTCTCTCTCTCTCTTTCTCTTTCTGTCCCCCTCTGGTCATATTAAGATAAAAATAAAGTTTAATAAAAAATAATTTTAAAAAAAGCTGAATTATAGATTTACTAATTTTTTTTTTTTTTGAGCAATTTTTGCTGTAGGGTGCATGCGCTCGCCAGAAAGACAGAGACAGAGAGACAGAAAGCGAGAAATCATCAATGGGATGATTTCTCATCCAAGGGAAATGGGAATGGCCACGTCACAATCCCTTCTCCTTCATTCTCTTCT